TGGGACAGTCCATCCCTCTCCAGAGACCCCCAACTCAAACTAGGCAGGGGATGATGGGTGGGACAGTCCATCCCTCTCCAGAGACCCCCAACTCAAACTAGGCAGGGGATGATGGGTGGGACAGTCCATCCCTCTCCAGAGACCCCCAACTCAAACTAGGCAGGGGATGATGGGTGGGACAGTCCATCCCTCTCCAGAGACCCCCAATTCAAGCTAGGCAGAGGATGATGGGTGAAATAATCCATTCTTCTCCAGAGACCCCCCCCCAACCCAGGCTAGGCAGAGGGTGATGGGTGGGACAGTTCAGACCCAATTCAAGCTAGGCCGAGGATGATGGGTGGGGTAGTCCAGCCCTCTCCAGGGACTTCAACTCAGGCCTGGCAGAGGATGATGGGCGAGATAACCCACCCCGCCCTCAAGACCCCAATTCAAGCTAGGCAGAGGATGATGGGGTGGGCTAGTCCATCCCTCTCTTAGGGACCCCCCAACCCAGCCTAGGCAGAGGATGATGGGTGAGATAATCCACCCTTTCCCAGAGACTCCCCAAACTCTCAAACTAGGCAGGGGATGATGGGCGGGACAGTCCACCCCTCTCCAGAGCTCTGAGCTCAGGCCAGCGCAGGAAGATGGGCCCCCGAGTCGTCCCCCCCCCCGGGGCACCCCCCCCCCCCAACCGGAAGTGACTCCCTCGACCGGAAGCGCCCCCTCTTTCCCACCCCCCGCCGTCCCCCGCCGCTTACCCGGGTGGTGCCGAGCTCCATCATCACCTCCTCGAAGGCCGCCGTCTCCTCGGCCTGCCGCTGCTTCTGCAGGGCGATCTTCTCGCTGAACTTGCGCGGGTTGGACGACGAGGACGCGGAAGAAGACGAAGCGGCGGCTGCCGGGGAAGACGAGGAGGCCGAGGAGGCGGCCCCGGCGCGGCGGCCCCGGAACCCCCCGCCGCCGCTGCCGCCGCCATCTTGCTCCGCCGCCGCCGCCGCCGCCTCAGCGGCCTCCTCCTCCTCCTCCCCCCCCACGC